CTATTCTTCTTAAAGCCTTAAACGTGACAACTGAAGAAGTTTGTGATGCTCTCAGAGAAGGTGATCTCCTGTTCCTTTCTTTCTTATTCAGAGAAATGAAAGAGTACTATTGGCTTTAATTATCACGTGCAATCAGATGAAAGGTAGAAAAGTTTTTAATTTAAATACTTAAATAAGCTGTTTACTCGAAGGAAAGCCATTTAAGATGTTTTTTGCTAATTTTCTTTTGATTTTCACTGATCACCTCATCATTCTCTTACTTGGCTACTCAATGAAAGCATCATGTACAACTACTTTTAATTGTCTATCCCCCTCTGATAAGAAAGAAAATTGTTTGTAAGTCCTATAAAATTTATTTATATTAGTATATCATGATCTCTAGTGATTTCCAGCAGACACAAAAATATTAGGTGATTGTTTCTCATCTGCGTAAGCCCATGTGGGAAGAATTACTCAGTACCTGATGAAAGGTGATAGGTACTTGTTGGAATAATTAAGGTGCGAGCAAGGTGGCTTGGACACCACTGTTATGTTATTAAAAAAATGATTTTCTAATGGTTCTACTTGCATTCATCCTTATCCTAAAAGATAAATTATTTTCTACTGTATTGTCTGTTGTCAAAATGTTCGAGAAAAAACTATTTGATGCTTACCCCTAACATGAGTTTGCTTCTATGTTATCCCATTTGTCTAAAAAGATACGATAGTTACCATTACAGAGATTAAGAGAAGTTTAAATGGATATCATACTCGAGATTGGTGTAAAAGTAATCAAAATGTGAAAAGTGAAATGCTTACTTGCAAAGGTTTCTCGTCATGGTAAAGACGATATAGGTAGCTTGAGTTTATATTTTTTTGAATGTATATGGGAAGGTAGGAGTATGTACTATCAGTTGATATTGGTCACTTTGTTTTTACATATTTCTCTCTTTTCCTTGTTAACTTGAGCAGCAGTGTTAGGTTTGCCTTTTGCCTGAAGCATTCAGAAATAAAAAATAGCCCCGCTTCAGCACAGGTCACTATAATCATGATCAGAATGATTATACTCTTGTATGAAGAACTTTTACATCCTTTACTGTCAAGTGGCAAAGCATTACTATACTTGTATTTTAATTTGGTGCTATTTCTTGGAAATGGGAATATTGGTTTTTGTGCATTTGCTGTAACTAATGTTTTATACTGACTCAGGAAATGAGCTGCCTCCTGAACTCCTTCAAACTTTGCTTAAGATGGCACCAACTACTGATGAAGAATTGAAGCTGAGGCTCTATAATGGGGATCTCTCTCGGCTTGGGCCTGCAGAGCGATTCTTGAAAGTCTTGGTTGATATTCCATTTGCCTTCAAGAGGCTAGAATCCTTGCTTTTTATGTGCAGTCTTCAGGAGGAGACATCAATGGTTAAAGAATCATTTGCCACTTTGGAGGTGAGATAAATGTTCCTGATCGTGATGAACTGTTGGATTATTTGTAAATATTCCTATCTTGTAGTTGTTTTCATATTGGTTGAAGTACACTAAACCAGGGGTGGAGCTACGGGTTCGGACGAACCCACTAGCTTTTGCTTATACCCCGTGTTTTATTAGGAATTCCATTAATTATGTATAAATATTTAATTGCAAACCCGGTAACTAAAACGAGTTATGAGTTCGATGGCAAATTCAGAACTCATAAGCTTTAAATCTTAGCTCCGCCTCTGCACTAAACTACTCTGGATTCGGTTAAAGTTTAATCTAGGTCAACTTGTCAGATTAACTAATGAGTTGTAGGAATTTCATTACTTCCAGTATATTGCTACATGCTGTTCTTCCTCTTTCTCCTTACATTTAGAACCTTAATATTCTTTTGTTTTCTAAGGATATACTGACATTGTTGTTTGCTGCATCTTCATTTATGCTCCAGGCTGCTTGCACGGAACTCCGGAAAAGCAGGCTGTTTCACAAGCTCCTTGAGGCTGTTCTAAAAACTGGCAACCGTATGAATGATGGAACATTTCGTGGTGGTGCTCAAGCATTTAAACTTGACACGCTTCTGAAACTATCCGATGTAAAAGGGATAGATGGGAAAACTACGTTGTTGCATTTTGTTGTTCAAGAGATAATCCGTTCAGAAGGTGTAAGAGCTGCCCGTTCCAGGGATCGAGGCAGCAATCTACCCGAGGATCAGTCTCAGGAATCGGAGGAGTATTATCGAAGTACTGGTCTACAAGTTGTTTCAGGTTTGAGTAGCGAACTTGAAAATGTGAAAAAAGCTGCAATTTTAGATGCGGATAGCTTAACAGGCACGGTGTCCAAGTTTGGTCACGCACTCAAAAAATCACGGGATTTCCTAAATTCAGAAATGAAGAACGTAGATGATGAGAACGGGTTTCACCAGACCCTAAAGAGTTTTGTGCAGAACGCTGAGGTTGACATCATGTGGTTACTCGAGGAAGAAAAAAGAATTATGGCTCTAGTTAAGAGCACGGGTGACTATTTCCACGGAAATTCAGGGAAAGATGAAGGTTTGCGATTGTTTGTTATTGTTCGAGATTTTCTGGTAATTTTAGATAAGGTATGCATAGAGGTGAAAAATGCTCAGAAAAAGCTAAATGGCACGCCAAAGAAAGAGAATTTGGCAAGTAAAACTTCAGAGTCCACCAATTCACCGTCCCTCGATCTCCGTCAGAAGCTTTTTCCAGCTATCGCCGACAGGAGAATTGATGATTCTAGTTCAGATGATGATACTCCTTAAGGTAAGGTTTCATCAAGGTGAATCGGCTTTGTATTTTTCCTCATTTGCTTGCTTCAATTTTGTCTGCTTTAGGCGACACCGGGTCTATTAATTCTAATTCTAGGCTTAAAAATCTATAAAAATAGATGTATAAGGGTAAAATCACTGATTTAACGTACTTGTTTATCACTTTTTAGTTCATGACACATCATTTATCTACAAATTACTAATGAATACTGATAGCTTAAAAATGATGCATTTACTAAACTATTCGTAAAATAGGGTAATTTCTACTACATGAAGTTGTTGACCTACCTATTAAAACATACAATCTTAAAAGCAGAGCAAATGATTAAAATATAATATGTTGCATTCAGTATTATATACTTTCAAGTATATGATATGTTGCTAGCCCTGAGAATCAAATTCAATAGATTTGCCTATGACTTTTACTTTATCATGTACTCGAGCAGTTTACGAGTCATAAATTTTTCTTTTTATGTTGAAAGCATGAATTAAGCGGCCGGGGGGGGGGGGGGGGGGGGGGGGTTCATTTTTTTCTGGAATGAAAAATATAAAACTACAGTATATATTGTCTATGATAGTACCCAAGGATGTAACGGTTAATGAAGTGGGTTGAGAACCATAAGGTCTCAGGTTCAAATCCCAACAGAGGCAAAAACACTATGTGATTTCTTCCCATCTGTCTAAGCCTTGGTGGATAGAGTTACTTGGCACCTGTTGCTGGTGGGAGGTGGTAGGTATCCCGTGGAATTAGTCGAGGTGCGCATAAGCTGGCTCGACACCACGGTTATAAAAAGAATGTAGTCTATGATTCTATGATGTTAAGCCAACATTTGTATATACACCTATGACAACCGCGCCTCAATTCCAAGCTAGTTGGAGTTGGCGATATAAATCCTCGGTATCATAAATGCCTCATTTGGATTCATAATATTGCAATTCTACGTACTAATGAGTCTTCTAGTGAGCGCTATTCTTCTTGTTAGTATTACCTATACAGATTTTCAGGTTCCATTGTTTTCTATCTTTCGCTAGATATGCCTAGATAATATACTAAGATTACTTCTTTGTCCGGTTGGCGCAGGTATCCGAGGGAACGAAGAAAGCTTGTTTAAATACTCATTCATTTTAGAGATCAAGTATGGTAGATAGGGAAGATTCAGTTGTAGCAGAGAGAGATCGGACAGAAGATATGCTTACAAATTCTACCTATTACATGCTTCTTTATATATCAATATTTCCTTTCTTGAAGCTCCTACTTGTAGTTAAAAGTAGTTAGGAAAATTCTCATTCATTTTTTTTCCTAGTTTAGCTTGTAATTCTTTGTTTCAATGTAATTGAACAAAGTAGTTCTGTTGATTATTACATATGGTGTCTCAGAAAGTGGTCCATTTCATAATGTGTTATGTCTAATGCAGTGTTGTCAAAGGCCAAAAGCGATGCCGCCTATTGGGGTGCTTAATGTGGTCCATTTCATAATGTGTTATGTCTAATGCAGTGTTGTCAAAGGCCAAAAGCGATGGCGCCTATTGGGGTGCTTAATGTGTAAGTAGTGCAAGAATTTTTTTACATAAATATAGCTATAATTTAAGAATAATACAGTCAAACTTTTCTATAATAGCCTCGTTTGTTCCAATATTTTTTGGCTGCTATGTTGTTATAGAGAATATATATTATACATAATATTAAAATCTGGTTCGAGAAAAACTTGGCTTTTATAGTGAATGGTTGTTATATAAGGATGCTGTTATAAAGAGGCGTGACTGTAATTCAAAGCACCAATAACAGTAATATGGACAAAGGAATTTAAATGTTATAAAATAGTGAAATCTTTATTGTTCAGTGTCAATGGATGGTGATTGAATTGAAGCTCGTGCTAAGCGAGGCAAACCGCTCATCTTGTTTTGCACCTTGCTTCAGGGTTTAAGCACGCTTGCCTTTGACAATATTGATCTCTCTGGGCAATGAATTTTTGTAAGGTATACAATATTTTACTTTTCTAGTTTAAAAATATGTGAATCAATATATATATATATGTTGTTTGTAAATTCTTTTCATAATCTTTAGAAGCAAGAATATAGGCTTTTTTTTAAAAAAAAAAAAAACAAGAATATAGGTGTGTGTAATAAGTAGAACAATGCCTAAATAACTTTCATTGCCCCCACTTTTGACTTTCAATATCAATTTTCTTTGTTGTGCAATTTATTAAAAGGATTTGTTGTTACTATTATGGAGTATTTGTTATAGTAACTCTGAAATGCCAAGTATATTGCCCCCCTTTAACATGTATATTTAATTCATGGAAAGCACATAACATGCAAGTGAGAATGACAGAATTGACTTCAGTATTTTACAATAGCACCATAAGAAAAAGTGATAATTTTTAAGAATTTCACTTTCCGGGGACAAAGTTTGTGGCATAGGACCAGGCGTTGTTGTTAACTGGATCAGCAAGATGGTCAGCAAGGTTCTCCAATGGACCTTTTCCGGTGACGATAGCCTGAACAAAGAATCCAAACATGGAGAACATAGCAAGTCTACCATTCTTGATCTCCTTCACCTTGAGCTCAGCAAAAGCCTCTGGGTCATCAGCAAGGCCTAATGGGTCAAAGCTACCGCCAGGGTAGAGTGGGTCAACAACCTCACCAAGAGGTCCACCAGCAACACGATAACCCTCAACAGCTCCCATTAACACGACTTGACAAGCCCAAATGGCCAAGATACTTTGTGCATGGACCAAGCTTGGGTTGCCCAAGTAGTCAAGTCCACCCTCGCTGAAAATTTGGGATCCAGCCTTGAACCATACAGCCTCACCGAATTTGACACCATTACGAGCCAAGAGCTCAGGAAAGACGCAACCAAGAGCTCCAAGCATGGCCCATCTGCAATGGATCACCTCTAGCTCACGATTCTTAGCAAAAGTTTCTGGATCAGCTGAAAGTCCAGCAGTGTCCCAACCGTAGTCACCAGGGAACTCACCAGTCAAGTAGCTTGGGGACTCACCGGAGAATGGGCCCAAGTACTTGACACGATCAGGACCATACCATGGGCTGCCAGAAGAGACTGGCTTCGCCTTGGTCACAGTCTTCCTCATGGTGACTTTTCCATTTCCACTGATCTCAGAGGAAGATGGTGAGAGTTTCACCGCCTTTCCGGCAAAAGAAGAGGAAGAGAGAGCCATTGTTGAAGCTGCCATTGTTGTGGAAATACTCTTGAAAATGCAGCTACTACACAGAAAGAGTATTTGATTTATGGCTTGACTTTAATGGGCTTGCACCAACTGTATATAAATAACTAGGTAGGACCAAAGTCCTCATCCTATAATATCATCATCTGTTTTATAATTGGTGAATGAGAATTTGCTAAATTTTTATATTTTGGTTTCATGTCCATTTGGCAAAGTTCAGCACCGTTAAGCATGACTAGATTCTTTTACATGCATTATGTTTAAAAAATCCAACCCAATGCAGATTTCCTCTCTTACAGCCAACCCAAAATAGCCACGTGTAACAGTGGATTTTTGAAATATCCACTTGACCAGATCATAAGAGTATAACCTCATGGCCATGCACAAGGAAAGTGAAAAAAGTGTAGGCCCTAGATATTACCTGCTGATATTGTAGAGGGATAGAATGAAGGAAAAACAAATTCTTGCTTTTACCTTAAAGATCTAATGGTTAAAGATCTAATGATCTTTATGAAATTGTAAACTAAAGGATAGAATACCAAAAAGGGTTGTGGTAAGGTTTCGGGTTCGAACCCTGGGTATGGAATCACCTTTACTGGAGAGTGTTTTACCCCCTCCCCTTCCACCCTAATGTAGGACTTTTCGGCGCGAAACTAATATAGTCGGATCCCGTGCGAATACCTGACACCAAGTGGAAGCTTAAAAAGAAAAAAGAAAAAACTAAAAGATGGAATCATAGAACCTATAGCCCGTTTGGTCAAGCTGCAAAAATCAGCTTATTTTGAGAAGTGTTTTTTCTAAAAAGTACTTTTTTTAGCAGTTTATGTTTGGCTAATTAATTTGAAAAGCACTTCTGAGCAGCAATTACTGTTTGGCCAAGCTTTAAAAAACTGCTTCTAAATGTATTTTTTCTCAAAAGTACTTTTCAAAAAAGTATTTTTGGAGAGAAGCTACTTTTTTCTACTTCTCCTCAAAAGCATTTTTTTTCTTTCAAAAACTTGGCCAAACACCTTAATTTTAGAAAAAAAACACTTTTGAGCATCAATTAGTACTCCAATATTTAAATGAGAATGATTAGGACACTGCGCGTAAAAATGACTTGGGACTATTAGAGAAGTTGAAATAGGCGCTGCAGAGCCAATTTAAATTCAAGCTACGCATATAGTCCAACTAATATTGTTAAACCAGGTTGCACAGCCAGCTTCTGGCAATGCAGAGCCAGAAAAATTTTCAAGTAAAAATTGAAGTTTCAAGTGTTTCAAATTCTCTTTTGTCTCTGCATTATATTTAACTGAGGCTTGAAAATTAAAATGAGTCCTTGTATTTTGCATTTAATAATAATAATTAATTATTATTATTATTATAAAAGTTAAAATTCCAAAGGACATGACTACATATTCCGAAAGAAATATATTTATAATCTGAATAGTTGCAGGAATTAACTACCAACACTCCCAAATTTGTATCAACAAGCTTCTTATTTCCTCCGATCTCCTTACTCTTCAGTTGGTACTTGGTACTGACAAAAGCTTGGCCAAACAGGCTAAAGTACTTGGTACATCAATAGAAGACTCAATGCATCTCTAAAATTTCCTCATAAACACATTATTTGCTGACTTATAGCCTGTTTGGCCAAGCTTCTAAAATCAACTTATTTAGTACTTTTTAAAAAATACTTTAGGCAAGAAGCAATATGTGTTTGGCTAATTAAATTGAAAAGCACTTTTGAGCATCAGTTAGTACTTGGCCAGACTTTTAAAAACTGCTTCTAAAATGTATTTTTCTCAAAAGTTACTTTTTTATAACTTCCGCTCAAAATCACTTTTTTTCTTGTAAAAGCTTTGATCAAATGCTTAACTTTAGAAGGAAAAAAAAAAAGTTACTTTTGGCCATAGAGGAGCTTTAGCCAAAGAGAACAGCTGAGCAGGTAATTCCTCAAAAGCTAAGATATACATACTGATTGACAGAATGCAACTCCCAAGTCTTAGAGCAGAACAATCAATAACACATTTTAGTGAATGCTAATGACATATACTCTTTTCTTTACTGTGTAATCTTTAGAGCTTAATAATGATTAACATTTCAGATGTACATGAGAGGCAGTGGATGTAGGGTTTCACATACAGGTTCACAAGAACCCGATAGCTCTTGCTCAAACTATATTTATATATTAATAACACTCTGTTTGGATCACTGTTCCTCATCGTTTTATAATGTATCATATTGTACTGTATTATATTGTATCGTATCGTTTTATGAATACAATGTTTGGATAGATTGTATTGTTCGTTGTTGTTAAATAATATTTTGCTGTTTGGTTTGACTGTATCGTACTGTACTTTAACTGATAAGTTTACTACAATACCCTCAATTGTTTTAAATATTTAATTTATCAAAAATTAAACATAAAAATTAGTTAAGAAAACCACTTTCTACTAACTAATCACTAATTATGTCTTATATATAAATTAAGCAATTAAATTCATACAAATTCTATCGAAATTAGTTGAACAAGTTAATAATATTAAAAATAATAATAAGTACACTATATTTATAATTAGATCATAATAATAAAAATTTTAAAAAGAAATATTAAGTAGATTCCATTCAGACAAAAGTAAAACAAAACATTTACCTGAAGAGTATGGAGAAGCGACAGAAGAACAAAATGAGTTTTTCACGTATGTAGGTTATTATATACTAGGTTATATTTGGGATGTCGTCTTGAGAATTTATATCAGTTATTAGACTTCATGTAGAATTCTATTACAAAATTATGTGAGAAAGAGACTTTGCTATTATTTAAAATAAAAAGGTAAAGGGTAAATAAAATTATAAAGTAATAAGTTAGGGCATAATTAGAAAGAAAAATAGGAAACGATCCCACCACACCAAATAGGTTGTTTCAAAAAATAGGACTTTCCATTGTTCCAAAAAAATGGATTTAACAATACAATACAACCAATTTTAACTAAACAATCAAAACAAATATTGTTCGATGAAAACAATGCAATACGGTACAATAGGTAACAACCATCCAAACAAGCTGTAAATCCACTAAATATCTATTAATATTTTACCGTAAATCCAATTATTATTATAAATTTACTTGAAATATTTTTCATGAACAACAACAACATACCCAATAAAATCCTATTAGTAAGGACTGGGGAGAGTAGAGTGTACACAAACCCTACACCTATCCTTCCTACCCGGAAGGATAGAAAGACTGTTTCCGGGAGACACTCAGAAGTACTTTCCATGAACATTAGATTGGTTTTAATCCCACTGTAAGGAGAAACTGAGTCCAACGAGTAGAAAATAGACATGGGTCATAGTTCATTGTTTCATCTGTATTCACAAACCAACATAAACTCCTACCAACTAATTAACCAAACAATAAGAAAACAAGAACTTAAAAACACTAAACAAAACCAAAAATCCTATATTCTAAATCAAAGTACAGCTACTATGAAACCATGTCTAATCTTCATCAGCAGAAGGCTTAGAGGAAGCACCAGATTTCTTTGGGAGCAAAAGGTTGTGAATGTTGGGCATTACTCCACCATTGGCAATTGTAACATCTCCAAGGAGTTTGCTCAATTCTTCGTCATTTCTCACTGCCAACTGAATATGCCTTGGCACTACCCTCGTCTTCTTGTTGTCCCGCGCTGCATTTCCAGCCAATTCTAGCACCTACACAACACCAAAATTGACCTCCAAAAATCAGAAATATAGTAATAGAAAATTTTAATAACTCCACCAAGTTCATTCTTATTTAACTCCGTGTCTATTTGAAGAGTTAAGACAATTTCGAACATTTCTTAAATCTTACTCCAGTCTATAGAATTCGCTACACAAAATTAAGAATTTGTTTTTTTTTTTAGAAAGTGCAATATTTTGACATTAATATCTGAATTAACCAAAAATTAGATGATTTGACTTTAATTCTTTGGTTCCTGAAACTATTTTTCCTTCTAGCAATAAATTTTTCAAATATATTTGAAATGTTAATTATCCTAACAAACTGCATTATATAATAAATATTATCTGCGTATAATCTTTATTAGAAAACATAAAGAAATTACTATCAGATCTAGCTAAACATTAGAGAACCTGGCCTAGTAATCCGAATCACTTCATTTTTTTGGGTTAAATATAAGGAAAACACAAAAAATTGTTAGAGAAAATCGAACTAATAACAAATGAATTGTAAACCCTAGCATTTGAAACTAGAAGTAATTTTGTTTTTCCTCAAAACTAAAAAAAATCGAAATTATGCAAAAATGAGAGAATTAACCTCAGCAGCAAGGTATTCAAGGACAGCAGCGAGGTAAACCGGAGCTCCGGCGCCGACACGTTCGGCATACTTGCCGGCTTTAAGGAAACGGGCGATACGACCGACCGGAAATTGAAGACCGGCTTTGCTACTACGAGACGTAGCCTTCTTTGCAGCTCCTGAACCTAGGGTTTTTCCTCTACCAGCCATTATTGTTTACTGTAAAAGAGAAGAATTTTGCCTTCGAAATTTGAACTCTAGAGAAAAGGCGAATGCAGAAACTGAGCAAATCTACTGGGTTTTGATGCTTTTATATAGAGGTGGAGGGATTTTAAATTGGACCAATTAGAGTAGATCACCCGGATCGTGATTATAAGCCGCTGGATGAGATGGGAATTAACGGTGAGATGATAAGGACGCCGACGGCTTTAACCGCTTCAAGGATTTACTACGAGCTTTGGAAATTCTTTTAAATTTGTATTTTAAACAAGTCACAATATTTTTATATGATAAGTTTTTTGATATTTTTAACTTCAATATATCATAATATTTATATGATATGATTATAGGTTGTCATTCTTAAGATAAACAGTAACGAGGAGGAACTGCAAACTTTTTGAAAGTACCGCTTGTCTCGCTTTTCTCTACTTTCTCTCTCTAGAGCACGTTAGTGAATTACCGTGCTCAGCCATCGGAATGGCCAGAGGAAGGCCGGCGAAGAAGCAAAACAACAAAGCAGCAGTGGTCATTGAAGCCATTGCTAAAAGGATCGGAGTAACAGCAACATGCAACGATGGTGAAGCTTTAGAAGAGGTGACAGAATGGCCAAATCTACCAAATCGAAGAAGTGGACCTAACACACCACTTTCTGGTGTAATTCCGAGCGGATCTATGCAGATGAGCAACAACCAGACAAAAGGAACTCCTCAATCCACGGTGCATGTACATGCATGTGGAAATCAGACCCAACGGGAACTGATAGAACAGGGAGACGATAAGGAGAAGGACATGCAGCAGATAGAGGAGGAATCACAAGCTAAAAGGCCGGAGAATAAGACATGGGCAAACCTAGTGGGAAATAATCGATTTGGACTACGAGGTATGAATCTCAGCTTTGTAGCTCCAATTGTTCAAAATGGGGAAACAATTGTGGAATTAGCAAAAAATGAAGTAGAAAAGGAAACAGAGAAATGGCAGAATGCTTTAATACTGTATGTTGTAGGTAATACACCTACGATTGGAGCTCTGGAGAGATTCATTGCAAGCCAGTGGAATTTTGTAGCTAAGCCAATGATATTTTACCATAATGAGGGGTATTTTGTGATAAAATTCAATAATACGGAGGATAGGGATGCTATTCTGTATTCTGGACCTCATACAATGGGAAACAAACCTATAATCACAAAAATTTGGACGCCAGAATTTAATTTCAAAGAGGAAATCCTGAAAACTATTCCAATATGGGTCACTTTGCCAAACCTCCCGTTGAATTGCTGGAGTGCAGATTCATTGAGTAGAATTGGAAGTGGGTTAGGGGTCCCATTGTATGCTGATGAGTGCACGACTAAAATGGAAAGAATATCATATGCTAAAATTCTTATTGAAATGGATGTAACAGTTCCATTACCGGAAGCTATTAAGGTGCAGGATCCAACTGATAGAAAATTCAATCAAAGAGTGGAGTATATATGGAAACCTGAGTATTGTGGCAAATGTTTGATGATTGGTCATTGTTGCAATGAGACAAGGCAGCAGGAAAATGTCAAAGCAATAAAGATAACTGTACAGAAGAAAATATGGCAAGTTAAAGAGGCAGCAGGGCAAAAACAGGAAAAAGTGAAAGAGAAAGAGAATTCAACAAACGCTGAAAGCCAGTTAGTAACAGAAAACAATGAAGGATGGAAGCCAGTAAAAGGAAAATCAGCAGCAAAGCCAATACATGTGCCAGATGAAGGTAGGATGAGCATAACAAATGGTTTTAATGTGCTGAATAAGCAGAATGAACTCGATCAGCAGCATGACCAAGGTAGAATAATTGAGAGAGGTCAAAGTAGTAGGGATGAGAATATTGGGGTTGTGCAGAATCTGTTCAAACAGAAATGAAGTTAGTAGCCTCGAATATAAGGGGTCTTAATAAGACCTTTAAGCAAAAGGAGTTATGTAGATTTATTAGTATAAATAAAATTAGCATTATGGCTATATTTAAACATAGAACAAATGAAGAAAAGGGGAAACAAATCATGAAGAAAATTGCAGTGGGTTGGAATTATGTTACAAATTATGATGGAAATGGAAAAAGTAGGATATGGGTAATGTGGGATCCAAACAACATCCAATTCAATGAGTTGTGAAATAGTAGTCAGCTGATACATGGGAAGGTGGATGCTGGTGCAGGCAAAATACAATTCTATTTCACAGCAGTGTATGGGCTCCACACTGTTGAGGATAGGAAAATTCTATGGCAGGAGCTTGAAGGGGTCAAGTATGGAGTTAATGGGCGTGGATAGCAATGGGGGATTATAATGCAGTAATGGGGATTGAAGATAGGAAAAGTGATAACCCGGTGCAAGAAGTAGAAATAAGGGATTTTAGGGAACTCATGCTTAATAATGACATGAATGAACTAAAATATATAGGAAGGAAGTTCACATGGACAAATAATCATGTGTGGAGTAAGATTGATAGAGCCACTGTCAATGTAGAATGGATGACAACAATGAAGCAATTGGAAGTAATTGTGATGGAGCCATTTATATCTGATCACACACCTCTATGCCTTCACCTGGAGGAAGCAGGGAAGGAGGGGCCTAAGCCATATAGATTTTATAACTATATAGCTGAGCTGCCAGAATTTCTAACAGTGGTGGAACAAGCATGGAATACAAATACAAAAGGGCAAGGAATGAAAAGAGTGTGGCAGAAACTTAAAGCAGTAAAGCAGGAAATGAAGAAGATGCACACAGGAGAGTTCAAAAATGTTAGAGAGACAGTTCAATTAATAAGGAGACAACTTCAGGAGACACAAGAACAAATGCATGATCCAAGCTATCAAACAGATTTGGTTGCTATAGAGAAGGAACTAAAAGGCAAACTGGAGAAATGGGCAATGATAGAGGAGAGCATAATGAGGCAGAAGTCTAGATCAAAATGGTTGAAACCGGGGGACTCAAATAGTGCTTACTTCTATGCATGTTTGAAAAATAGGACTTCTATGAACCATATCAAATCTCTTGTAGATCAGGATGGTAAGCTATTACAGAATGATCAAGAGGTGCAGCAGGAAATTGTGGGATTCTACAAGAAACTACTAGGGGATGCAGCAGAACGGATCCCAGTGATTAATCCAACAATAATGAAGAATGGAGCAATACTGACAAGAGAACAACAGATGAAGTTAATAGAACCAATCACCGCAGAGGAGATATGTAATGCTGTGAAAAACATAGATGATAATAAAGCCCCAGGTGTGATGGTTTTAATGCTAGCTTCTTTAAGAAAGCATGGTCAGTTGTAGGAGAAGAAATAGTCAAAGCAACAAAGCAGTTTTTTGACACTGGTGAGATCTATAAGCCCATAAATTGCACTGTTGTGACATTGATCCCAAAAGTTAAAAATCCAAGTTCAATCAAGGAATATAGGCCTATATCTTGTTGTACTGTCCTATACAAGATAATATCAAAGGTGATCACCACAAGGCTGCAGAAGATTATGGAGAATCTCATAGACATAAGTCGGGCTGCTTTTGTACCAGGCAGAGTTATCTCTGATAACATCATCCTAAGTCATGAATTGGTGAAGTGCTATGGAAGGAAGGGTATTACTCAAAGGTGTATGATCAAGCTAGATATGCAAAAGGCATATGATTCTCTGGAATGGGATTTCTTAAAGCAATATATTGACAGCAATGAACTTCCCTGCCAGATTTGTGGAATGGATCATGAACTGTCTCTCTACTGTCTCATACTTTATTTTGATTAATGGTAGTCCTACTTGTCCTTTTCCAGCTAGGAAGGGACTCAGACAAGGGGATCTGTTGTCTCCTTATTTGTTTGTCCTAGCAATGGACTACCTCAGCAGATTACTCAGAACTCTGAAGAATCAGCCAGATTTTAACTACCATCCAAGATGTGAAAGGTTGCAAATTATTCAGCTGGGATTTGTTGATGATCTGCTGCTATTCTGTAGGGGTGATGAAGTTTCTATCCACGTGTTATATAACTACTTCATAGAGTTCTCAAAGGTGTCAGGTCTAATTGCAAATAAGAGTAAGAGTTCCATATATTTTGGTGGTGTAAATCCAACAGAGCAGCAAAAGGTCATGGGTGATCTGGGGTTTTCAAAAAGAGAGTTGCCTATAAGGTATCTGGGAGTCCCATTGAGCACAAAAAGGATGTCAGTTATTCAACTCCAACCGCTGATGGACAGGATGCTTGATAGAATAACATCTTGGACTGCCAAATTTCTCTCATATGCTGGCAGAATACAGTTAATCAAAAGTGTGCTGCTATCTATCCAAATATACTGGTCTCAAATATTTGTATTCCCCAAGAAGGTAATTCATCTCATTGAAGCCATATGCAGGAAATTCCTATGGTCTGGGGGAGTTGAGGTGACAAAAAAAGCTCTAGTGGCATGGGATAAACTATGTCAACCAAAAGCAAGTGGGGGTTGGAATCTGCTAGATGTTGAGTTGTGGAACAAAGCTGCAATATGTAAGTTACTATGGAATTTAGCTCAAAAAAAGGATAAACTCTGGGTGGTATGGATTCATACTTACTATGGAAGAGGAAGACCTGTAAAACACATAGAAGCTAAGCAAGCTTCATGGTTGGTACAGAAGATCTTGAAGGCTAAACAATACATGATAGATGCTGGGGTAAACTTGGATGAGGTGCTTGACAAGAAGAACATAACCATCAACTATATATACAAGAAGCTGAAGCAGGATCACCAGAAGATGCCTTGGAGGAAGCTGATATGTAACAATTGAGGTATGCCAAAGTGGATCTTTATTCTGTATATGGCAATACTGGGCAAATTGGCTACAAGAGATAGATTAGTACGATGGGGAATAACAAATGAGCTGCTATGTCCTATGTGTAATGTAGAAGAGGAAAACATGGAATGCTTATTCTTCAAGTGTACATACACAGCAACAATTTGGGAGAAACTAATACAGTGGATGAATGTTAATAGGCGGCCGATGGAATTGAGTCAAGAAATAGAATGGGCATGCAACAACGTTCGAGGCAGATCAGCAAATGCAGAAATATACAGAATAGCACTAGCAAGTTGTGTCTACTATGTATGGCAGGAGAGAAATCATAGAATTTTCAGAGCTCAACTGAGGCCAGCAGGAGTACTGATGAAGCAGATTATACAAATGGTCTGTGGAAGGGGATATACGTTGTCAAGATTGAGAAGCAGATTAGAAGAGTTAAACTTCTACCCTTAATGCAGTTGTTAATTCATAGTTAGTAGGTAGAAACAGAAGTATAGGAGAAACTAATTCTGGGATGATGTCCAGAATTAGTGTTTGTGTTTTGCGCTGTAATTTCGTTCTTGGTAATAAAATATGATAATTACCAAAAATATTTATATGATTATAAATAATTTTCTTTAACTATAAAAAAAATTTAAAATTTAACACATCATCCTTTTTTAAATAACACAAAAAGTTAATAATATATATTGAAATGGAGTAAATTACATGTATTTTGGGGGTCCTTTGGTAGTATGCATTAGAGAAAGCAATGCATACATTCGCTTTTGCTATTACTAATCCCTTATTTGATACACTTTTCAACTTATGTATTTTCTGATGAAATAAGTTGTATTTCATTAACGAGAAACATCCAGGGGATGCATAGGTTACAAAAAAAAAGGGAAATATCATCCCAAATGATAAAAAAAAATAATTGTAAGACTAGTGCTGTAATGTGGGCCGGGCCTGATCCTAAATGGGCTTCGTGGGCTGGTACTAAGTGGGCTCGGGCTTCATGGGCCGGTCATAAATGGTCCTGGCTTCGTGGGCATTTTGTAGGAACCAACCCGGGACCGGGACCACGAACTAATGGTCCCGGGCTAAGTGGGCCGATTCCGGGCCTATGTGGACCCAATGGATACTTCCTATTTTATTTTATTTTTTATCTAAGGCAATTCCTTGTAAAATTATATTATAGAATTCTGACCTAAATTTTTTGATTCAAATTTAAACACAAAAAATATTGTAAAGAGATATTCAAAGCGATGCGTTATAATTTTATTATAGCATTAACAAAACATGACAATATTTTTCTTAGTCTTCCTCCTCCCCCCCTCCCCTCCCCCCATGGAATGAGCACAACTAGGTGCTAATACGACCATTGAGAAGAAAAAGAAACTAATCAAGATGTGCCAAAATACAAGTTACATATGAATTTACATGGTATCTCTTATAAATTTCATAAATCCTTCAAGGTTCGGAGGAATTTTCGTTAGTGGTGGCGGGAAAGAAGCTTGTTCATCACCGCTTTCGGGCGCAGCAGCATCCTCCGCAAGTTCAGCTAGCATTTCTTCGTAAGCTTCATCTACCTCTGGTTATGATTCAGCAAGTCCAAAATTTCTTCGTTCCGAATGGATCCAATCTCTAAAAAGTACTAATTTTTTCAAGCTCTCCCTCATAGACGCTCTATAATCACCAATTTGAAGTCTTGCTTGACTGAAAGTGCTCTCTCCACTGTTGAAGCTTGAATAGTTAAAATGTCTCGGGCCATCCTTGAAAGAATCGGAAAGTATTTTTCTTCGTCCTTCCACCATTCCAAAATATTAAAGGAGCCGTCGAGTTTCACTTCCTCAATTCACTGTGACAAATACACTTCAAGCTCATTTAGTTGTGAAAAATTACTAGTACTAGAACCTTGAGAACCCCTGAAACCGGCCCAAGCAGTAAGTACTCTTACTCCCGCAGTTCTTTTAGATGATTGAGAACTAGAAGAAGAAGGAGTTGGGACATTTGGTCTAGCATGATCGAATGCAATTTGATAAGCACTATAAATAGTAGCATTTATTTTAATTGAGGCTTGTGCTTCCGGAAGTGTAAACAACTCCTCATCTTCAAGTGTTAAACCATTATAAACAGTTTCATACCAAAATTGAGGACCTCCTAATTTCATAGTAGGATTTAACAAGGCAGCAACACCATAAATAGGGGGGATAGGGAAAAAATATTTTTTAAACTTTTTTCTCATAGAATCAATAGCTTGTTCATAAATATTCCCACTCTCTGAAAAATGAGCCAACAAATTTGCAAGTTCTGCAATATAAACTAAACAGTTAGAAATAGTAGGATAATATTGCCCAGAAAATTCATTTGTAGTAATATAAAAAATTTCTAAAAAATCTACAAGCATTTTTAACATTAGCCCAATCCGCATTTGTAAGGTGCTCATCATCATCGCTTACATGAGCATTAAACATTGAGTTTATGGGGTTTCTATATTCATATGCAACAATTAAACTTTCATACATGTAATTCGATCTAGTTGGACAAACTTTAGGAACCTTTTTTTCTCTTAGGCCAAATTCATCGCATCTTTTAAACTATTCTCTAAGTCTACTTCTACGGTTTGAATAAAAAAGCCAGTTAAGAGCCATTTTAACCTTTTCAATTTCAACATTTAAAATTCTCATACCATCACCCACAATTAAATGGTAAATATAACAAATACATCTAACATGAAAAATGTTATTAAATGCAGGATTTAGTGTAGTGGTAAGCAAGGCTACATCATTAGATACTAGTAGCATTATCCATTGAAACTGCATTATTTTATCACTAATGGAAAAATATCTACAAATATTCGTAACCGTGCTAAAAATAAACTGCCCTGTGTGACGTGAATTAATTATTCTATAACCAATAATGCGCTTTTGCATTATCCAATCCTCATCAATCCAATGACTGGTAATAGTAAGATAATCACAGTCATTACAACTTCTACCAATATCAGTAGTAATAACAACAGAACAATTTATATGAGTAAATAAATAGGGTAAGCACATAACAGTAACTATTTTTGCCAATTCTTCCCGATCTTTTCTTGGATCATAATATAAAATACCACCGGTAACAGTGTTAATTCCTGGTTAAAATTGATTTGACTCGGTACTAAGGTCAGCCTGACTAGGTACACTTGTCCCCTCGCCAAAGCTTTCGTACGAAGATATTTAACTTTATCTTGAAGGTGTAGCAATATGTGTCTCCTCAAGCTTCTCCTCCCCCTCCCCCCTCCTCGACCTCCAACATATTTAAAAGCTAACTCTTTGCCACAAGTTTTACACTTAGCCCTATTTTTTTCTCTTAGTTGAGTAAAAAATGGCCAAACAAGAGATGTTTCGCTCCGTTTAGAAGGTTGTCCAGAAAAAGTAGCGGTAGTAACGGGAGGGTCAGACGGGGCATCATTTGGATTATTATTAGTTGGGTTAACTTCGGCAATAGGACTAGTGGGTGTATCGTCATTCGGTTGCGTTTAATCAAAATCTATTTCTTCATCATCATTTTCATCAATAGTTGGATTACCATAAAGAGCATTCATATATTCATGGTTTAATTGTTCACCACCTCCAACATTATGCAAATATTGACTCTCAGTAAATTGTAATAAAGATCACTATCAAGAATAGGAGCAGGTGGAGGACGGGTATGGGGTTTGGGTAGGGGAGCCCGGGAAATTGGAGGAGGAATAGATTGGCCACTAGATTCACCACTCTTGGATTTTCCCTTATTTTTACTAAACATTTTTTTAACGAAAAATCCATCTTAATTAATCAAACAATACAAAGTAAATAAAACAAAATAAAACTATAATATTAAAACTTATGAGTTGGAACGAGTTTACCGAATCGATGAACAACTTGTTGAATATTAATTATCGTTGAAGACTTGAATACTTCAATTCACCAACTTCACAATTTTTCACACCAATTGCAACAATAAAGTAATCAATTATAGAAGAAAATTAGAGAGAGATTGATAATTTTGTGAGAAAAATGATAGAATGAGGGGGGTATTTATAGTTGAAAATAGGGAAAAAGTGTAATTATAAAAAAATTGGGGTTAAATGAACTAACGGCTAGAAATGGCCATTTTGGCAGAAAATGTTTTAAAAAAATAGCCATTGGGTCCGTTTAGGCCCACTTAGGACCGTTTAGGACCGGGAGAACCGGCCCACTTACCAGCCGGTCCCGGTCCCGATCTCGCGGGTCTATATCAAGGGACCGGCCAACCTGGAAGCCCACCACCACCCGGTCCCGGTCCTATCCGGTTAGGCCCGTTTTGGCCCACTACCCATTTGGGCTCGCGGGCCCGGGCCTAACCGGCCAACATGCCACCCTTACTTTGATTCCATCACTAAATTTGTGATTTGGGGTGGAAAATTTGGAAAAATGAAGAAGAATTTTTGAGGTTTTGAATGGGATTTTGATATCTGATTTGAGTAGTTTTGGTATGGATGAACTCGTGGTTGAATGGGTGTCCAATTTTTGTGACTTTTGTCGGATTTCGAGAAGTGGGCTCGGGGGCCGGCTTTCAGCCAATTTCGGATCTCTAATAACTTCATATTTTCTTGTGGAATTGATTCCTTAGGCCGTGTTGATTGTGTTGTACTGTTTGTGGCTAGATTCGGGACATTTGGAAGCCGATTTGCGAGGCAAGGGTGTGTCAGAGTAGAGATTTGCTCTGATTGAGGTAAGTAACAGTTCTAAATCTGGTTCTAAGGGTATGAAACCCCGTATTATGTGTTTTGTGATTTGTTTGGAGGTGATGCATATGCTAGGTGACGGACGTGTGGGCATGCACTGTAGGAATCGTGACTTGGTCCATTCCATGGAACTGTGAAGTTGAATAAGTTGTTGTTAGCTATATGTTCTCCATGTGTTATAGAAATTTGGCTACAAATCATGGTAGAAATCATATTTAGGCTATGTGTTGGTACTGTTGGACCCACAAAGACCGTGTAACATGTTGGAATTACTTTCTAATTGGTGTTTATACTCAGTCTCAATTTTACTTGCACATCATATCTCAGTCTCTATTACTCCTTGTTGATGCATCATATCATTGTTGTTTGGGCTGATTTTTGTGATTACCGAGAGCCCGAGAGACTGGAGAGGTTGATGACTGAGTGAGGCCGAGGGCCTGATTACGAGGATATTTATGGGATCGGGTTGCACGCCGTAGCATGTTTCACTGATTTAGGTCATGATTGGCTTGATATAGCGCTTGGGCTGAATGAGCCCCTCCGGAGTCTTTACACACCCCCAGTGAGCGCAGGTACCTACAGAGTGCGAGTGCCGAGTACCGAGTGCCGAGTGATGAGTGATTGAGAGGAATGAGTGAGTGTGAGGAATGAGTAATTGTGAGGTTGGAGTGAATGACGGGACTGAGTGACTATTGCTCTAAGAGGATACATTTGA